CCCTGATGGTGAAGTAGTGCTTCCTGATATCTAGCCTGAATCTACCCTCTGCCAGCTTGTGACCGTTGTTACTTGTCACTCCTGGGAGTGCTCGGGGGAACAGGGACTCCCCCAATGCCTGCTGGTTCCCTCTGGCTAGTTTGTAAACAGCCACTAAATCCCCCCTCAGCGGACACAGTACTCCAACTGCGCCTGACCAGTGCCACATAGAGGGGGAGGATCACCTCCTTGGCCCTGCTTGTGATGCATCTGTGGACAAGGTATGGTTGGCCTTCCTGACCGTGTCCCCACACTGTCGGCCCATGTTCATTTTGGCATCAATAATGACTCCAAGATCCTTTTTTGCCTCTGCACTGACAAGAACCCCGAGCCTGTAGGTATGCTGCTGGTTCTTCCTCCCCAGGTGCAGCACCTTGCACTTGTCAGTGTTGAACCCCATCCTGTTCTCATCCGCCCACCCCTGTAACCTGTCTAGGTCCAATTGCAGCCCATTCCTCCCTTCTAGCGTGCCCACTTCCCCCCACAACTTAGTGTTGTCTACGAATTTGAACAGAGTGCTTTTTACCCCCTCGTCCAAGTCACTGATGAAGATGTTGAACAGCACGTGCCCAAGGACCGAGCCCTGGGGGACCCCACTGCCCCCATCCCTCCAGGTCAAAAATGACTCTCTGGGTGCGGCCCTCCAGCCAGGTAGCGACCCATCTGACCGTGTAGGTGTCGACGCCACAGTCCCCTCGTTTTATAATGAGAATGGGGTGAGAGACAGTGTCGAAGGCCTTCCTGAAGTCCAGAAAGACTACGTCCACTGCTACCCCTGCATCTAAGGATTTTGTGACCTGGTCGTAGAAGGCCACCAGGTTGGTCTGACAGGACCTGCCTTGAACAAACCCATGTTGGTTGCCCCTAAGCATAACCTCCCCTGCCGGCCCCTCGCAGACATGCGCCAGGATAATTCTCTCAAAAAGCTTACCCAGGACCGAGGTAAGACTGACTGGCCTATAGTTTCCTGGGTCCTCCTTCCTCCCTTTTTTGAAAATGGGGACCACATTGGCCCTTTTCCAGTCCTCTGGCACCACACCAGAGCACCACAAGTGCTCGTAAAGCCGTACCAGGGGTCCCGCAATGACCTCTGCTAAGTCCTAGTTGGGTACGGCATAGCAAGTGGTGAAGGCAAGGGAATAATTTGCCCAGAAGAGCTATTTCCTCCAATTTCCCCTCTTTTTCAGGTTCCCAAGCAGATGGCAATGTTCTCGGAGGTATTTACTGCTTTAAATTATTCATGATTCACCCCCCCCTACACACGCTTCCTTGCAGGGCTAGATCATGTTCATCAGGCACGTTCGCAGGAAGGGGCAAAATAGAGCCACGTGACGACAAGGAGGAACCTCCAGGAGCTCAGCCTGCTCCCTTGGCATGAGACGGTCTTCCCCTGGTGAAGTGATGGCGAGCCTGGCATGATCACCTCCCCGCGTACCCAGAAACCGGCACAGGCCGCAAAGCTGACCTCCAAAGTCCAGACTTTCCCACACAGTGGGATTGCCCAAAGCCAGGGGGTTTGGTCAGAAACAGGGTCTGGCTGTGGGGTCTGGATTTAAATCCATCCCACCTCCAAAGATCAGGGACACTTGTATGTGTGCTGGTGTCTGGGCCCATCTGCCTGCTCCAGGTTCGTGGCTATGCTTTGCATTAACCCGTTCCCATATAACCTAGGACTTTCCGGATATAGCGAAAGCAGTGGAAGGGTTAAGGAACTTTTTGCCGTGTCCCCTGAAGGCATTTCTCCTCAAGCTTCAGTCACGGCCTTTGCCTTGGGTGAAAGATTTCCTCCTCACAATAGATGACATTTAGGCCATTAGGGGATCCTTTGCAGGAAATAATGCTTATCCCTTACAGGTGGTCCCCTTAATTAGTAATTAGGATAATGCAATATTGAAAATGCAAGACACAAATTTAATTAGTTGTGTTTTATTAGAGTAACTAAGGAGAAGGCCCCGAGACTGCACTGGAGGAGAGTGATCGATACGGGACATCTATTTTCACTAGAAAACAATTGCTGCTGATGGCTGTCCATGGAGCATGGTGTGGCGTGATGGAGTGGCTGTCCACCGCCAATGATTTCTGCACCAGAAGGGGTAGGGGGAAAGCACAGGGCTTGGTAAATAAATGATCGATATCTCCAGGGAGTCTCTGTGTAATCTCAGTTAATGTTACAGAGCAGCTAATAGGAGCTGACACATAGCTATGGGGAGATGGCTTCCATAGCTCAATTAACTAATTATCTTTTAAGGCGTTCTGACTCAAATGGGAAATAATGGCAGAAGAGCTTGCCTCTTCCTTTTTTTAATTTGGTTTTGTGTTAGTTTGGGGGTGGGAAGCAACCCTTTCCCATTGCTAGAGCCCCAGTGCCAGTGCTTGGGCTCCCAAAGCACGCGCTCAGTGTGCACCAGCCAAACAAAGCTAGACAGTCACCCAAGCATGCATGCACGGGGCATGATCTAAGCACCCATTTGCACATGCAAAATCACTTTTGCATGCACACACGAGCCAAAAGTCAATGTCTCTTGCTCTGATCTTAGTGCCATATCCAATAGCTTGTCTGTTTGCCAAAGAATCGCTCTTTGCACACACTGTGTACGTATGTGTGTGTACACACAAGGGGAGAACTGTCGATATGAGTTACAGAGAAGGTTACCAGCTCTTTTTTGCTATTAAAGTAGCATGTAAGGCCTCAATCAGGGATTGGGACCCCACTGTGCCATGCACCAGGCAAATTGTCTTCACATTCACTTTTTACAATATGCTTTTTGCCCGATGCTTGTGATATACCCCATCAATGCTAAGCTGTAAATATAACTTGTGTCGACTCCATTCAGACCTGCCTTTGAAACTCTGCAAATCCCTGTGTGGACCTTCTTAAATCAGTTTACATATGGCCTAGATCAACTTCAATTAATCAATAGATGACAGGTGGCATATCATTGCATGGCTCATTAAAGCAATTAAAATATAGTCCTCGCCCCAAAGTTTACAGTCTAGGCACACTTGTCCTCACATCTGTTATGTAATGATTATTTTATTAGCTCTGTTTCAGTAGCACCTAAAAAGCCCTGACGGAGACCAGGGCCCCTTTGCACTGGGTACTATTCAAGCACATAATAAGATAAAGTTTCTGCATGTAAGAGCTTACAGTTTTAATTAAAATAGCCAGGACTGATAATGGTTGGATGGAAAGAAGTATTACCTTTGTTTAACAGAGGAAGAAATAAGAGTGTTTAAGTGACTTGCCCAGGGTCGCAGAAGAAGTCAGTAGTTGAGCTGGCCATTGAGCCAGATGTCTTGAGCCCCAGTCTAGCATCCTCCCCGCCAGGCCATCCTTTCTCTCTGTTCGGCACCTGACCTCAATCGAGACAAAGGAGAACCGTGGTGGTGTGCTGCTGAGGATGGCAAAAATTAGTGATTCAGCAGTGCTCACCCAGTGCTTTTTGTGGAGATGAGAACTTGAATCAAAAAACGTCTGGGCTTGAACTAGGATCGAACTTGAAAACAAATTACCGAGATAAAATGTAAAGTCACAGCCATTTCTCAACTCGGGCCACTTCTACCTACTGAGCCAATAGACATTTCAACCTTTTGGGAGGGAGGAAGGGGTCTCAAGCAATTTAGTAACACAAAGAAAAATACAAAGTGAGCCCAAACTCATCCCCTCCAAGTGGAAGCACAGCCTCATACAATATGTAATGTTTTCCGCTAAGATTTCTCCTACAGAGATCACTCAGGCTTTGATAAGATCATTGCAAGAGGACAGGAGGAAATTGCAGTCTTGCCCAATGCTTGATCTTACACTGCTGAACTTGCTGTATCTGGGACATTATAGCCCAGCCTTAATAGCATCATATTAAGCTGAGACAATGCAGCCCTGTGACCTTGCGATGCTTGATAGCCATGTGTGCTATTTTAATGAAAAATTGGGACTTAAGTAAATAGCCACCTATTGGCAGGAGACTGTTAACAGGATCTCTCTCTTTAGTGGAGCCTGGGTTGGGGGTGGGAAGAGAGAATGGGTCCATAGCTGCGACAATCTTCCCTCAGTGAATGACCTTCTGCCTCATGCTAGCATGGCCTCTCATGCTAGCCTAGCAGTCAAGCCTAGCAGTACTTCAAGCGTGGCAGAAGCAGGGGGCACTTGTACACAGTACGAGTCGTCCTCAGAAACGTTAGGAATATGCAGCATAACGGCGTAACCGTGTACACGAGCACCAGGGTTTTTTTAATTTTTTTGTGTCAACTCAGACCACCTCCGATAGATTCGGGAGCCTGGGTCCTCATTCCTGGCTCTGCTGCTGACTCCTGGCTGAACTAGGGTGCCTCAGTTTACCTTTCTGAAAACGGGCCTTGCATTTTCCTACAATCCTGAGCCTAATTTTACTGTTTGCAAAGCCCTTTCGGACCCTCACGCTGTTTGCAAGGCCGTTTTGGACCCTCACGCCAGTGGTGCTAAGTACAAAGCATGTGGGGCTGGGGTTTGCCCCCTATGCTCCCAAACTCCAACTGATTTCCGCTGGGCTGGCGGGTGCAGATGCCTCTGCTGAGCGTGCTTGAGGTCGAGGGTCCTCTTTACATCTGCCGCGCCACCCGAAAACCTCTCCCCAGAACCAATATTTGTCTTGGGCGACCGGGAGGCTTGTTTTTAGCATGAGGAATGAAGCCTTCTGTGCATGCGATTGCACACGGCTCCCCATCCAGGCGCACAGGCTGTTTTTCTCCACCAACAAATTGAAGCTGTAAATATTGATATCCTTTCCTTCCAAGGCTCTTTAATGCCCTGTGATACTTAAAAACTATTAAGTACACCCATCATTACTAACCTGTGAAGTAAATGTATCCTAATGGGCAGGCAAGCTACACTCACTCCAACAAATCATTTCTAATGAATAGCACCTGGCACATGCATCACGTTTAAATGCCAAAGAAAATCCATCTGCGTTAGCCAGTGAAAAGAGCCAGGAGTATCTCGCTTTCTTTCTCTCCGAGGTATGGAAGGGTTTTGGCCGGTGACGCTTCAGCGCGACTGTTTCCAATCTTTTCCCATTCCTGCAGTCCGGAGCCTGCGAGGAAGATTTCCCAACAGCCGGGCTGCTCCCAGCGCACAATGGAGAAGGTCCCTCAGAGTTGCATGAAAGGTTTTAAATAGAAACCAGCATTTCTCTGTGCGGCGCACAATGCTTTTCTGACCCTCGGCTGACCTCACCCTCAAATCTGGGGTTCATAGCCCCAGCCTTGAACCCGGCTCTGTTTTTTCATGTTTGGCCTCTCTATTTCCTGAGGTCAGGCAGCCCACTGCTCCATTAGGATGAGGCAACTCAGCGCTCATTTGCCAAAACTGACATCCTGGGAAAGTCCTGATGAATTTATGAATTAGAGGCTACAGATGCCAGTAAAAGAATTAAAGATTTTTTTTTTCCCCCCCATTTGCAGGAAATCAGCTGTTTCTTTTTCTGCAAAACACAGCCGCCCCTGAATCCTGCAAAGGCTGCTTTGACAGCACTTTTTTTTTTTTTTTTTGAAGGAGGAGGAAAAAACAAAGGTTATGTTCGAAAGAAAGGAGAAAAGCGGGAGAAGGCAGAGGCACGAAAAGGATTGAGCTGGATTTGGGCGCAATGGGATTCAACGAAGTTCTCCCGGGATGAGGTAGCCTCACCTTTGGACTGAGCAGTTGCAACATCTAAGTAAATAGGTAAAATTTATACCCAATAAATCAATGTGTCAAGGGCCAGCAAGGAGAGGTCAATTAACCAGATGTATGAGGCAAGAGGCAGCGACTATCCATTTCCAAAGAAGCTCCAAGGGTTAGTGTCTCTCCAGCACGCTGGAGGTCAGGTAACCAACACACATGGAGAGGGATATTTCCTTCCTCCCTTGCTTGCTTTTTTGGGGGCATTATTTTATTCTTTTTTTTCTTTCTTTCTTTTTAGTTAACACTTTCCAGGCTTTCCCAGATGAGAGCCATTCCATGGAAGATGCAAAATGAGCAAGTGCTGTGTAGCACATCAAAAGGATTGGGAAGCATGGACAGATGGATTGATGGATGTGATTAATAATCAAACCAAGAGCTTTTACTGGGAGTCATGTGGAAAATGTGGCTTTGGAAACATCTGACTGGAGCCCAAACAAGCGGTGTTTTTCTTCCTTTCTTTTTTTTTGTCCCCAGCCCCCACATCTCCCTCCCCTGCTTTTCTTTCCTTGTCCAGAGTCACTAATTAAAATCTTTTATTATCTATACCTGCTCCAAGTGGCAGCTCAAAGGGCTCCTGTTTTGCTGTGATTTATGTTTTGTGTATCTCAGGCTTCAGCAGAAAAATAATTGACCAAATAATAAAAGGGGCACTAAGTAGCTCTTCATTATAAATGACAGGGCATCCACCAATCTTTACTGTTCGTCTTAAGCACCGGTTCAACCTTTGCGTTAAATGTCCAGATCATTGTGGGGGATGGTGTGCTAAACCAGGTGAAGATAATCTTAGGCTGCTCAAAGGGCAGGATCATTTTGGGACCAGGCGATTTTTAGACTGAGGACAAACAGGGAGCTGCTGTGAAAAGTTGACGGGTTGTTTTCAACCATCAAAACAGTCCACTGGAAACCCACAGTGTAAGGGAGTAGATCTGGGGCCTCTGTTGCTGCATTGCAGAACTTGCACTGTTGCTACATTGCAGAACTGTGCAAGTATCGGTGGAAGGTGATTTTATTTGGGAGAGGTTTAATCTAGTGATCGGGAACAAGAAACTCCAAAAAAACCCTCTTCTTGGGTGAGCTAATTAGCCTCACCAGCTTCATTTCCTTATCTGCAAAGGGGTGATATGGATGTAACACGGTACTGTCAAACCCAAATGAAAGTTTGCTGTTATTCTGCACGTCCTGAATGCCAAGAGCTAAAGCCAGGGTACAATTCAGAGCCTCATGCTTTGTTAGTGCAGTACTAGCCCTTGAAGTAAGAGGGACTCTTCATTAGCAGGGACACACTGGGTGCATCTACACGTTCATGAATGCACTGTAGTTACTGCGCATTAAGTTTAGTACTTGGTTAACCAATAATGATGGTGAACCAAGTACTAAATCAACGTGCAGTAACTTGCGCTACTGCGCAGTAGCACCAGTACGTGGGTTTTTAGTAACTCTCGCTGGGTAACCCACGTTGAGTGATAATACCACCTCTCTTGGCAGCCTGTTCCACTTTCTGGCCACCCTTATTGTGAAAAATTTCTTCCTAATGTCTAACTTGAATCTACTCTCCACTAATTTGTACCCATTATTCCTAGTTACTCCTAGGGGTGCCCTGGTAAATAGCGCATCTCCAATTCTCTGTTGTCCTCCCTTGATAAACTTATAGGCGGCTACAAGGTCTCCCCTCAGATGTCTCTTGTGAAGGCTGAAGAGATCCAAATCCTTCAACCACCCCTCGTAGGGTTTTGCACGGAGGTCACTAATCATGCGAGTGGCCCTCCTCTGGACCCTCTCCAGGTCCTCCGTGTCCCTCTCAAAGTGTGGCGCCCAGAACTGGACACGGTCCTCCAACTGCGGCCTGACCAGCGTTGCATAGAAGGAGAGCATCACCTCCCTCGACCTGTTGGTCATGCATCTGCTAATGCACGACAAGGTGCGATTGGCCTTGTTGATGGCCTCGTTAAACTGTTGGCTCATGTTCATCTTGGAGTCAACTATGACTCCAAGATCCCTTTCAGCTGCTGAGGAGGTCGTCCCCCAACCTATAGGTGTGCTGGGGATTCCTCCTCCCTAGGCAGAGTGCCTTGCATTTGTCCTTGTTGAATTGCATCCTGCAATTAGCGTCTTGTGTGGACGCACCCACTGGGGAGCAATTCTGATTTCAAGCAGTAAAGGGCAGTAGCCCATGAGCCACAGCATCACAGCACTTCTACCAGGTCACCCCTGAAAAATTAATAGATTTAATTAAAATCTGTGCTCCATTACACCGCAGAAGAGAGTAACACCTTCTATTGCAGAGGAAACACCGGGTCAATTTTTTTTGCTGTGCAGTGCAGAAGGGCTAGCTGTGGTCCATCTTGGCACTGGAAGTCTGCAAATCATTGACTCTTTCAAGGGGAGAGATGGTGTGTGTGTGATAGGGAAAGTGAGGGATTCTTGCTTATCTGTCTGCTCTGGGTGCGATTCGGCAGGTTACCTAAAGAAACCACTGACATTTCTACACCGGGTCTCCATCTCATGTAGTGCGTGTTCTATAAATGTGTGCATGACATATTTGGCACCGCATGTTCCTGCCTGTGATGTAATCTTCGGGAAGTTACTTAGCAACGATGGAAAATGTTTTGGAGGTTCTAATTTTTCAGTATGGTAAAATAGTATATTTATGCAGTGCAGCTAATCAGCTCGCTGGCGACTCGGCTCCGATGATCTCATTTTCTTCATCATTATTTTATGTGAATTGGGCTTTTAGCACTAAAGAGACCACAAAGATTTAATTCAAAAAATGTGATTGCTTTATGTTTCCAGGGTATCGTTAACATGGCATCTACGCAAATAACCATGGTAACAAACTGGTAATTAGTACATATATGGCACTTATTATTAATGCAGAAACAGGACGAGTTCCAAATCAACGCAGATTACAGTACATTATTACCATAGTAATTACCTGCTGTAACACACACAAATTGAACTAAATGGCCAATTGAACTAGAGTGAATGGCTTTTTATTCCAGTCTCTAAATAATGTGCATTCTTGGCTGAGTAGTTCAAGGTAAATAAAACAGTTTTTAATTTATTGCCAACTCTTTTTTTCTTTTTTTTTTCTTTTTTTGGAAGGGGGGGTTATGGGGATAAGAGAAGGAATGAGTAACTTAATTTTTTTTAGCTAAGTACAATATAATTATTGTACAGGTTCCACTCTCTAAGCTGCTCTCAAGATTACTGAAGGGACAGAAAAGGATAAACATTATTGGTTTCCATTTTATTAGCAGGCTTACTTCTGTAATTCCAGTCATGAAGTAATGTTGAACACTTTTAAAGGGACAATGCCAAATAACTTAGGCCTCAAATTCATTTTTTTTTTTTTTACTCTGAAGAGAGAGAATCTGTGTTTTGGAGCGCCTCGGAAAATTCCTAAAACACAAAATGAATACAAGAGCTATTGTGTTTCCGCTGAAATCAATGAAAACGGGGTCAGTTTTAAACTAAACAGTCTCTTTTAGACACCAACACAAAAGCACTACATTTGCTTCGTGTGCCAAGAAGCAAAACTGACTGTAAACACAAATGACGACGCCTGACGGGAGCTAAAAGAAATGCAAGCAATAAGCAAACTGCATAAAACGAGGGGAAAAATTCTGCATGGTTTTTCAGTTCTTCCTGTTTTACGGAAGTGTCTCTTGCATCCCAGTTCAGGTCGTTTTTAAACAATTCAGGGCTTCATCCTGCTCCGTATTTTTGGCACGGGGGTAAAACTGAAACAACGTGCAAATAAAATGAACCCATCACCATTTGGGAAAATGCAGTATCGTTGGCCAGTCTTTGCACACCAGTTTTCCAAGGCTGGACTAGCGGGAGTGTGGGCGCTCAGGATAATTGTTGGCCTGACAGTGGTACCTCGTCCTCTCACCCGTTCCCAACTCCGATGTCTCTTTCTTCTTCCACTTGCATTTTGGTATCGTCCTAGAAAATTAACTGTCTGGGGGAGGGAACATGTTCTTCCTTTCTTTGTTCAGCGCCTAGCAAGAGACTCTCATTCCTGAATAGGCAGGCAAGGTTCTTTGGGGAGATGTGATCTCTTTTATTAGACCGACTGAGTAGCTGGAAAAAAGTTCTTTGCAAGATCTCAGAACAGCAGAGCCTGAAGACGGGTGATTGCACCCAAAAGCTTGCTAAGAAGTTTTTCCCAGCTGCTCAGTTGTCTAATAAAAGACATCGCATCTACCCAAAAAACCTTGCTGGCCTCTGTCCTTAGATCAACACGGCTACAACCAACACCCCCTCATTCTTGAATAGGAATGCCAAAAGCTGCTCTAATGCAAATAAATAATTATTGAATGTAAACTCAAATGCAGGGACTTGCATATGTACAATGGGGCCTTGATCTCCATAAGCACTTTTAGGCGTTCCTATACAAATGAGCAATGCTTATAAATCTTGCCAGGTTGGAAGGCAACTTGTTGGCACTGACAGCTGGATGGGCATGATGGGACAGAACCGCAGGTCTCTTCTTGGCATCTACATCTGTAGCACTTGCTTTCTCATTTCCATGAGCATTAAAGTCGTTCCTAAAATGATGCCACTCTATGGCCAAGTTCGGCACTGGATTCAATCTAACGAAGACCAGGTGAGAATCTGGCCCTCTGGGTTGCAGATCACACCAATGGCTCTTTACACAAACTCCAGGGATTTGCTGTCAGATCTCTCATCTACCCGGACTGCAGTGGAGTTGCATGGATTTACACTGGGTGCGTGCAAAGGCAGATGTTCAACCCGGACGGGACTGTTTGCCGGAGAACCAAGTATAAGCAGGAACAAGGAGTGCAGGCCTGCCGAGAGAGTGCGTTAGCAGCGTGTCTGTCCTTGCATCAGGCAATGCAGGGCTTGCAAAACGGCCACCTATCTTGTTTGTCATGCCCTGTTATTTTTAGCTCTTGTTTTATGGCTCAAAGACCTGTTGCCAAAGAGATGCAGTTAACACATCCAAGTCCTAATTCCCTTTAATGAAATGTAAGCAGCCAGTTGTTCTGATGGGGTTTGTTACGCAGAGTTCTAGGTACTCCACATCCGTGGCCTTAAAGGTTGACTCCACCCGTATACCTTCATCTTAATCTTCAGCCTTAACCTAAAGCAGGTTAACCATTTCACAACAGGTATTTACATCTGTTTTGTATCTGCCCTCTAAATTTGGGGCCTGCACTTTTGCATGCAGAATTATTTGGTAGTGAAAATTGCTAGAAACACGTGTCCGGGTTCAGCACGTGCACCCTGGCACTGTTAAAAGTTCACAGCTATGGGCCTTGGGGTATCCCGATCTCTTTTTTTTTTTCAAATTTGCCCCTTGCCTGATAGTGCTACTCTGATAGGGATTGCCTCTTTTGAAATTTGCCCCTTAAAATGAAGTATTTGGGGCTCTTGCATGTGGGATCCTTTCCTCAAGACAGGCCTTCTTCAGTAGTTTCTCTGACCAGAGGCCCTCTGCCTGGGTCCCAGAGAGGATGTCCTGGCTCTGTTCCCACTAGATGAAATGCCCGCGTCTCTCCTCTGTACAAGGAAGAGGTGTATAGCCCGAAAGTGTTCTGTTGTTTTTTTGCCAGGGGCAGAGTAAAGATTGCACGGTTACTCATAGCTCTTTTTCCCCACTTCTCTCCAGACAAGCATTAGTATTTCCACTGGCTGTTAGTAATTCAGACAACACTGTTTCTTGAGCCAATTATGCAGTGCAGCACTGAAGTGTACATTGTGTTTCTGTGATAGGAACAAATGGCACACAGGGGACCCTAGGGAAGTATGACTTTAGCTGCGAGTTCAGTGGCCATGGAGGGCAAGCTCGTTCTTTTGAGCCTGGCGGTGATTAGGCAGACGGACAGACCAACCTTTATGTGAGACAGAACCTAATGCACAAAAAATATTATTGCTTTTGCAACTAAAAAAGATC